CAAAGACACCTAAGGTAGTGCAAGGCTTGGCGGGAAGGCTAGCGGCCCTGGGGCGCTTCATCCCTAGGTCCGATAATAAGACCGCTCCTTTTTTCCGAACGCTCAAGAGGGCAGTGCATTTTCAATGGAATGCGGAGTGCAATGGAGCGTTCGAAAAATTGAAGCAACTCCTAGCCGCCCCGACCGTCATGACGGTGCCCAAATCGGGTGAGACGTTGTATCTCTATATTTCCGTATCAGAAGTCTCGGTAAGCACAGTCCTCGTCTCAAGGGAGGCCCCCTCCGGAGAAGACAAGCCGGTGTACTATGTCAGTCGTACCATGGTCGCGCACGAAAGGCGATATGCGCCCATCGAGAAGGCCACATTGGCAGTTGTGATGGCGGCGACCAAGCTATGGCCCTACTTCCAGGCACACACCATCATAGTGCTCACCAATCTGCCGTTGAAATCAACCTTGGGGTCAATGGATGTGGCTGGGCGCCTCGTCAAATGGGCGGTGCAACTAAGCGAGTTTGACATTCGGTATGCGCCTTGACCAGCGATAAAGGCTTAGGTTTTGGCAGACTTCGTTGCGGAAGGAGTAGCAGAGGTAGAACAGGGGGTGGACGACTGCTGGCAAGTCAAAGTTGATGGGGCGACCAGTTGCTCCGGTGCCGGGGCAGGCATCGTGATTATTAGCCCAGGGGGTGCAATGCACGAAGTCGCATTTGTAACATCCTGAACCTTTTCCCGACAAAGATATTGTCCGCTTTGGGCCTCGACCCTCACAGTTTTAGACTTGGGGTGCAATTCAAGGTGACTTTCCATAAGGTCACCCATCCTTGTTGTACTCCACACCGAGCTCGTTTACTTCGGAGTTCTCACAAGAACTCCTCCATTACACCCCAAAATGCATCTTGTCAGTTAAGGTCGGTTTCTTACTTATGAACCATGGATCTCTCCCGTGCTTTGTCGATGTGGGATTTGCCTAAGGTGTTACATACCCCCCCCCTTGGGACTCAACGCCCTTGTTGAGGTTTGCCCCACCATCGTTCAAGAGGGATGCAGAGAGGCTCTGATACCACTTGTAATATCCCGAACCTTTTCCTGACAAAGATATTGTCCGCTTTGGGCCTCGACCCTCACGGTTTTTGACTTGGGGTGCAATTCAAGGTGACTTTCCATAAGGTCACCCATCCTTGTTGTACTCCACACTGAGCACGTTTAACTTCGGAGTTCTCACAAGAACTCCTCCATTACACCCCAAAACCCGTCATGTCAGTTAAGGTCGGTTTCTTACTTATGAACCATGGATCTCTCCCGTGCTTTGTCGATGTGGGATTTTCCTAAGGTGTTACAGCGTTGCGATTTGCGACCCTGAAAACAAACAACACCGTGGAATACGAAGCGGTTATTGCTGGCATCAGTATGGCAAAGGAGCTGGGCGCTCACAAGATACATGTCAGGTCCGATTCGACTCTCGTCATTAATCAACTCAACGGAGTCTTCGAGGTAAAGGAAGAGGCGCTTGAAGGGTATGTCCGAAGAGTAAGAGAGATGGGAGCCTGGTTCGGGGAGGTCTCTTTTGTTCACGTCCCACGAGAGGAGAACGCCCATGCCGACGCCTTGTCTAAGCTAGCAACCGCAGTGGATTTCGCGGAGGACAGGAAAGTCATAGTCACCACGGAGGCGCCCCAGGAACATATGATCGCTGCCCTCTGCGTTGCGGGCGCCACCACCGGTTGGATGGCCCCAATTGAGCTGTTCTTGACCCAGGGCGTGGTTCCTGATGATCCCAAAGAAGCCTGGCGACTCCGCCAAAAGGAAGCACGATGTGTCATAATCGATGGTAAGTTGTACAAAAGGTCTCACGCGGGAACGTGCTTGCGGTGTTTGGACGAAGAAGAGAGCAAGGGGGAAATCGAGGAGGTCCATAGTGGAACGTGCGGCATGCACGCGGGGGTGCAAAGTTTAGAGAGAACGCTGTTAAGGCAAGGGTTTTACTGGCCAACGATGAGAAGGGATGCAAAGGTAGATGTGGATGCTTGCCACCAATGCCAAGTGCACGCCAATGACATTCACATCCCGGCGGCGCCCATGCAAGGCAATGTGGGAGCCTGGCCGTTTTCTCAATGGGGCATGGATCTCCTGGGCCCTTTCCCGAAGGCGCCAGGCCAAATGAAGTACTTGATAGTGGCAGTCGACTACTTCTCCAAATGGATCGAGGCAGAAGCTTTGGCCACAGTCACAGAAGCCCAGGTGCGAAAGTTCACCAAGAAGAATATTTTCACCCGCTTTGGCTTGCCTAAGTCCATTGTCACATACCATGGAAAGCAGTTCGATTGTAAGAAATTTGTGGAGTTTTGCGTTGGCAATGGTGTCGTGTTAAGATTCTCATCGGTAGCTTACCCACAAGCGAACGGTCAAACCGAGGCGGCCAACAAAAGTATCCTCCACGAGTAGCACACCTGGTTAGCGGGTGCCAAGGATAGATGGGTTGAGGATCTTCCAAATGTGTTGTGGGCACACTGCACAACGTACAAGACAGCCACCGGGGAAACACCCTTCGCCTTGACCTACGGCAGCGAGGCTATCATCCCAGTTGAGGTCAACCTCCCAAGTTACCGTGTTGTCCATTATGACCCAAACGGCAACGACGAGGCACGAATCAGCGAGTTGGACATGGCAGATGAGTCAAGGGAGTTGGCAGCAATTCGCCTGGAGAAGATGAAGCGGCAAGTGGAAGTTGGTAAGGGGAAGTTGGCACCAAAATGGAAGGGCCCATACCGGGTCCGTGAGGTGGTGGGTCCTAGAACGTTCAAGCTAGAGCATACTGACGGCAATTCGGTAAAAAAAACATGGAATGCGCAAAACTTACGACTTTACCGGGACGACGCCATAGCAGGGGCAAGCGCCTTAGCCTGACCACGGGCAATGATGATATAGTGCAGTAATAGTAGTAAGTGTTTTGTTTATAGTAACCAAGTGGGGCGGTAAGCGCGCTTGTATTGTGTCTAAAGCGCCCATAGTGATAGCGCCATATCGTGTCCAAAACGCCCAGTGTTATAACGCCTCGACCACGACTTCATGTTATGTCTACAATTTTGTACTAGTTGAAGCGCCCAACTTTGCGCCCAATGTCTCAGAATGATTGTGTGGAAAATAGTTGCGATTGTGTTAGAATGTTTAAAGCGCCCGATCTCGTGCCCTATGTCCTAGCAAAGCATGGGAAATCATTATAAAACTAGTCAAAGCGCCCAACTACGCCCCCCTACGAGCCGGGTACGATGGTAAGGAAATCTCTATTAAAGCGCCCGATGAATGCGCCCCTCGACCAAAAAGCGTCCATAACTAGCGCCCCTCATATGCACAAGGTACCAAACGACGCCAATGCACAACGAGGATTCATAGAAAGTAGAAAAATTTACAACTTAAGTTGTCCATAAACCTCAAAAACATTAAAAACACAAAGGGACAGATTACAAAAGGCGCCTTGAAAAATCATTCTGCCTCAGAAGTAGCATCCTCAGTGTGGGACGCTTGCTCTTCGGGAGGGGGAGGCGCCTGTCTACAGAAGTGGGAGGCGCCTGGTCTTCCGGAGCAAGAGGGCACATCAGCTGCTAGCGTTGTCGGCGCCCTCCCTTCCTCCTCCGCGCCCATCATATCCTGGATCACAAACTCGGCCATCTCCAACACATCCCAGACCTAGTATGGATGATCTTGGTCGAGCTTCTTCTTCAAGATGCTCAGGCTTCTTAGGCAGGCGTTCGCGAACAAGTTCTTGCTGGCCTCTAACTCCTCGAATGTATTAAGGTAAGTCTTCAGAGCCGCGATCTCCTTGCGGGCCGCCTTCAGCGCCTTCTTATTCTCCCTTTGGCCGTCCCGCAGCCTACCCTTCTCCTACTTGAGAAGGTCTATCTCGCTGGCTTGGGCGACCACCTCCTTCGACAACTCCTCCTTCTCTGCCTCGAGGTTCGCCACCTTCTCTAGCAAGCCCCTACGCTCCTCTTCAAACTCCGCCTCGCACTTGCGGCGCTCCACCTCCAAGGCGCCCTGCAGCCGCGATAACTCCATGGTCGCCTTCAGCTGGGCATCTTCACACTCTTTCACCAGCTGCTCGCGGCACATGGACGCCATGAAATTGGTTTGGGTCAAGGATTTAAATATCGTACCAGAGGTTGTAACGTAAAAGTCAGCAGTATTGTATGTTATGCTAAAATCGGGCCGCTTACCGATTTCGCTTTCGATATGAAGTTTTTATGGTCGAAGCGCCAGTATGATATGATATTTCAATCTTTGGTTTGGTTACAACTAAACCAAACCAAGATTCTGAAATTAATGGTATAAGAACTAACTATTTTATTTTTTTATTTTTTACATCAATTCATCACAAAAATTTGGTAAACAGAAACATAAAGTTAGTGGAGATCAGGTGGCATAATAATTTATCATTTAGTTAATAAATTTTAACTACTCCAAATCATGTTATTTCATAGTATCGAAGCAATTTATGATGCATAATTTCTTTTTAAAGTAGAAAATAAGATATATTTGATTACATACTCAACGTGTTAAACTTTATATATGGTGAGATATATAATTTAACAACCATATGAATTAAAATCATAAGATATAGATTGATTCGTCCATAAGTTGGTAATCGAGTTGGCTCTCTAGCCACATGTTAAGGCATATCATGAGCTCTAAACGAGCTAGCTCACGAGTTTAGCTCAACAAGCCACCGAGTCGAGCTAGCTTGCGAGCTTCACGAGCTAAACAAAAATTAGCTCGTGTTCGGCTCATTTATTAACGAGTCAAGTTTCGAACGAGCTTTTCTCGAGTCGAACGTCGAGCCGCTCGCGGGCAGCTCGGCTCATTTGCAGCCCTAGGTGGCAACCTGCTCTGCAACGTGTATGTCATGCAGATTGGGGCTAGCAAAAAAAAAAAAAAAGAAAAAAAGAAAAAGAAAGAGTATTTCCCCAACCACCAAATAAATTGACAAAGGCAAGTTTCACAAATCAGCGAAGTGATTAAAAACGGGAAGTAAAAAATGTAGTTGATTCCTCCTCTCCTCGATCCAACAGAATCCGGTGTATATTCGCTCCTTCTCCCCTGCCAATTTGAGATCTAGTCCACGGATTAGATGTGGCAGCTGAGAAGGAATGACTGCGATTAACAAAGGAAACGTTCTTTGTAACGGGAATGGAAGCACACTGCGGCCGCTTCGTCTTCTCTGGGTTCGATCTCTTACTTTTCCCTTTCTATTGTTCTCTAGCTAGCTCTCTGTCCCAAAAAGGGCAATAGATCTTGCCTGTAGGAAGGAGGAGGAAGATCGATGACTGCATGCATTCCATGGCCAACTTGATTTACTTGTCCAATCGCCAGGGAGTCGACGGTGGGGAGTATCGGGCTTTCTCGCGGCTCCGATTTTGCAGAGAATAGAGCATGTGCTTCAATTTCGTCGAAAAGAAAAAACGGGATTTCCATGGGAAATCTTTCTTCATCACTCTCCAGCCGTCGTGCCGTCCGTTCAGCGGCTTCGGAGATGGAAAATCGGTTGTCGCCACCTGCTCCCGCTGGTTTCCTTTCATTGATTCGGAGATGGAAGGTGGTTAATTGGGGATTGAATGAAAAGGGGAAAGAGCTCTCGAGAGTGAGAGAGAAGCAAGAAGGTTTGGTAGGTAGGGCCCACCATTTTTTTTTAAGGGTGTGACTGATTAGGTGCAACTATTTCTTTATGAGCTCATGACATCTGACAAACTAAAAGTCATATGAACGGCAACACTTGATCTGCCCAAAATTAATAAACATGTGCTCACATGAACTGTACCGCAGGGAATCACCCAGCCTCTCCCGTGAACAGTAACGCGACTTTTTTGTAATGAACACTGTTTTTCAATTTTTGGTAATTTTTTATGTTCGTGGCTTAATCATTCTAATAATAATGTAAAGTCCATTGTTCAGCTGTGAATGTCTGAATGATGGTGTGTCATTCAGGCCTGCTCTTATATGGATAGCAGTTTAACTATTTAATTGTTATTCGGATTGGCTGGCCATGTAAATCGATTAACTAGCCATCAATAACTTATTGTTGTTGTTTAATCCCTTATAAGTTATTATCAGACTAATTATTAGATATATGTGGTTTCAAGTTGCTCGTTTATGTTATTTTGTGTGTGTTTATGTTGTGTACAGATTTATTTATGTTAATTAGTAGAACAACTTGGTGGATGATATGTGGTTTCAAGTTGCTCGTTTATGTTATTTTGTGTGTGTTTATGTTGTGTATAGATTTATTTATGTTAATTAGTAGAATAACTTATCTTGAGAAGTAATTAAGTAAGAAGTGGTTGATTGTTATTCGAGATATTTATTGTTATAACTATCTGTTGTTCATGGTTAATTTTAGTATGAACAACTTATCTTACCCTAATAGGGCAAGTCACATAAACTTTATATATATATATATATGGTGCCTTCTACGGTACCCCGGGTGAAATCCGGTGTACCGCATACCTTAGTATTGTTTGAGCCTTAATATCCGGTCCCACCTACTCGGCTCTCGTAGGAACTATTCGCAGTTGAGGCGCTGAGACCCTGTACAAACAAGCTCCTAGTGGGTTTCTGGGTGCCCGTTAGCACTCCAACGCTCAAGTCAGTGCACGTTTTTTGAGAGATAAGTGCAAGAGAGATTTTAGTGAGAGAGGCCAACCTGCTTAAATGCCACCTACCGAGTACTATTTATACTCGTCGAGGCCCGGACCAAGCTCCTAGAATTCAGCTCCACGTCAGCACGTCATTAAGTGCTTGATATGGCCCAACGATCAGGCGCCTACACGTGGCAGCTCCTGGACCTCTCTACCTAGACGCCTAGCAGGGACCACGCTACCAGGTGGCAACCTCTCAGCCTCCTGGTCCCGTACTCATCGGTCCCCATATCTATTTTTGTCATTGACACGCCAAAACACAACACCAATCTGCGACCAAGTGTAATCGCAGACCGGGAATGCAGTAACAGGCAAGTTATATTATCAACCCGGGGTCTAGGTCTACTGCTTACTCAGTGATTCTCTATTATCTAGCCAACTAAAGTAAGTGATTGTTGTTTAAAAGCAAAAGCAGAAAGAAAGCAGGAATTGATACGGTTTTCTTAAGCAGGAAAGAGTCACTCGGGAATGAGTCACCCCTAGCTCCTTAGTTAGGTTCAATTGCAATTACCCTGGGTTGATTTACTGTTGATTAGACTGCGGAAGATCCGACAGTAGCTTGGAATCTCTTAAGCTGACCAAGCCCTCTCAATCTATCTACCCGGCAGACGACTAGTCTTCACTGGGATAGAAAGCTGAAGCAGTAAGAACAGAACTCCACTACTGGAATTGGATTCCAGTACAAAGCAGTCAACTGGCTAACTCTCGTATAGCCAATCGCCTACTATCGAATGATGAGACTCTAGCAACCTAATCAGATTCTATCTATCTCAGATTGCAGCAGGAATCAGGAAAAGTTGATCAGACTTCAATTGACTCAATAAACATGCATCATTCGATTAAAATCAAACAGTAATATCATCCCAAGTCATTACAATCAATCCCTAACACATAGAACTAGGGTTCTTCATCCCCAAGTGAGAGAGGGGTTCTACTCCATAGAGAGAGAGAGGAAAACAGTAATCGGAGTAGTCATACTCATAAAGATGAGGAAAATCTGCTCCGGGATGATGATTTCCACTCCTAGGACGATCTCCAAGCTCGATTCGATGAAACCCAGCTCCAAGATAGCTTCTAGGATGTGCTCTTCGTACTTTCTCTCTCTAGGGCTCTGTTTTTGCTCAAAAAGTCCGATTCCCTCCCTTGTGGCTCGAAATTGGCTGAAAAACCAAGATTTCCCGACTCGCACGGGCAGGCCACACGGCCGTGTGGCTCACCCAGTTGCCCGTGCGAGTCAAAACGCTGCGTTCCAATTAGTTCGATCTTAGGCTTCCCACACGGCCAGGGTCGCACGGCCGTGCGGGATTTCCATCCTGCCCGTGCATGCCCTCGACAAAAAACCACACGGCCACAATTGTGAGTTGCACGGCCGTGTGGTTTCCAGGAATGCCCGTGCAGCTTCCTTAGCACCTCGCCACGCGTTCGATTCTCGTACAATCGACCTCAAACTCGCTCCCAAGCCTCCTTTCACGTACTAGGACCTGAAATATGACAAACAAGCACAACCTAGCGTGAAATTGGCCTAAAACACGAGAATCAACACCTCAAACGGTGTAAGAACAGGGGTAAAAACATGTGTAATTAACGGTCTATCAAACTCCCCCACACTTAACCGTTTGCTTGTCCCCAAGCAAACCAAGTCAGATACAAGGTAAGCTTACATATCTCAATCAACCAACATTGGGGACAAGTCATAAAGGCACAGAACACGTGAATCGTACTGGTTTTCAAACATCAATACATGACCAACTTCAACAGCAACCTGGACAACCACCACAAAGGATATTCGAGTGCAACAAAATCGAGTAAAGGAAGAGTCTCCCTTCTGTTCACCAACCAACCTAGACTTGACTCAACCACTTACTCAAAACAGTCAACTCATGCATCCAACTCAAAACATCAGAATAGAGACCGAGCAATCTAGGTCCTCACCGGGGTACAAGAGTATATAAAATATGAAAATGAACCACTCACTCTCGACCAGTGGGGTCAGGACAATTTGATGCAAAAAATGCACATGTTATTTCTCTCAATCCCTAACATCTCTTCACCATGATGGCAGCCTCTAAACGCTAGAGTTCACATATGGGGTGTCACCACTAACTAATCAGGAGGTCTTAGACACAGGTTCAAATGACTGGCTAGGGTCTTGGACATGGGGAAAAGGCCTTTTAGGTGGTGGAAGTATTCATAGCACAAGGTTCCACATTTCCAAACCCAAACAATCACAGTCAAACAAACCGGCATTTCCTTTCTGCTATTCTGCATTACTCAATATCTCAAGAGCACAAGAGCGAAGGAGGTATAAATGTCAGCATTTCCAAGCCAGACTGCTAAGAAACACTACTTGCCGGGCATTATTCAGATTTTTGGTAGTGGCTCTCTTTGCTTTCAATTTTTCTTTGTTTTTCTTTCATTTCCTTTTCATTTCTTAAGAGAGCCACCACTTCTGCATATATTTCAAACACCTGCCCAGCCCAACTTTTAAGCACTACCTCCAACACTCACATTAAATTTAGCAGAAACAGCAGAGAATATGTAAAAACCACTCTGTGGAACCTTCTAAAAGATGTAAACAGGGTGATTTTTTTCATTTCAGACCAAAAGAAAGGATAACACACGGCTCAAAAGGGCTGACTAGGGGATATGACATATCAGGACAGTCAAATTTGGTCGTGGGCTAATCCTATGCCCCCATCATCTTAGCTAGTGACAACGTGAATGCTACACATCATGGAAGAGGGATCTATCGCACAAGAAAGAAACGAGCAGGCTCAATTCTCACATGGCTACCTATATGCTCTATCTCACATTCTGATACCCTGAACTAGATGCATAAGAGACTGTCAAGAACAAGTAATCAATCCAAGTCACAGTTGGTAAGCAAACAGTTGAAAAACTGAACCCCTACACAACTCTACTGCACGTCTTAGTCCTCATCATAGGTTGTCCTAGTCACAATCAAGCTGTCATGCATCAATCGAAAACCATTCAATTCATCAATCAAAACACAGTGCCAATATGATCAAACAACACTACTTAGAGCGCTCAAATCTCGAGATTTGGACAGTGGACTAGGCTCCAAGAACACATATATACATTCCAACCGATACAAAGCACCCCCCCACACTTAAGCACGACATTGCCCTCAATGGAGCAGAGGAATAGAGAAGGGGAACGATGTTACCGGATTGAAACTGCTGGGGGACTGGAAGTGGACCAGTCAGCGAGAAACAAACGGGAAGATGGACAGTTCTACACGAATCGAACACCAAGAACACACTAGCACACTGTGCGTTAGGGATAACTGTTAGCCCAGACGGCTACAGAAAAAACAATCCACAAAAGAAAACCGAAAACAAAAACAAACGACACTAAGTTCAAGCTCCTCACACATGGAGCAAACACACACAAGTCTAAAACGAAAAACAAAACACACTAAGATGGGCAACGAGTACAGCCTACTCGTCGCCAAGATTATCCAGGTCGATGTCGTCCATGAAGGCGTCATCACCATCAGCACCATCATCACCATCAGCTGGGGGAGGTGGAAGTGGAGAGTCCTCCCAGGGAGTCCTCCAGACTGGCTGCTCGCCCGGTAGCAGCTAGAGTAGATGCCCATGTACCTCCTGCATGCGCCGAGAGCGGCGCCTCTCTCGCTCGATGTGTGCGAGAGTCACTCCCTGCTGGGTCTGGAGCTGGTCCAATCTCTCATCGTAAGCAGCCATCCTCTAGTGGTACTCGGCCTGGTGAGCCGCGTACTGCTGCTGGAACTGCATCTGATGGTCGAGGATCTGCTGGTTCTGGAGACGCAGCTGCTCGAACTGGGAGGTAAAGTAGTCCTGGCCCGGGAAAGCGGAGCTGCCACCTCTGTAATGGAAGTGAGTCTGTGGTGGATCAACAGCAGCGTCCACATCCTCGGGCTCCACATGAGCAGTAGCCTCATCCCCCTGGCCCTCTGGCTGGTCCTCCTGCTGGTCCTCCCAGGGGATCTGAGGTTCCGAAAACCCCTCGATCCATAAAATGCCGCGGTTCTGTCGCAGCAGGTGCATGTGACTGATCGTGGACCTGCCAAAAACGATGGTGTCCCCCTGCTGTGTGCACCCCTGCAGGGAAAGGCCGAAGTAGGTGGCCAGGCGAGTGATGAGGGGGGTGCAGTGGAGACTCTTCAGTTCCGAAGCAGTCTTCTCGAAGGTCCTGGCCACCACCGAACCCAAGTGGAGGTGATGGTCGTCCTGGCGGATCGACTGGAGGAGGTACATGGCCCTCCTAGTGATGGCGCTGGCACTGTCT